AGCGAGCGAGAGAGAGAGAGAGAGAGCGAGAGACGAGAGAGACACGAGCCGGCTGCAGTGCGACTCACTCGCGGCTCTCGGCTGGGCCCTTTGCAGGTGGAAGAAGCTCTCCGACGAGGAGAAGGCGCCCTGGCTGGCCAAGGCACCGCGGACTGCGAGCGAGCTCCGCGCCTCTGCTCGCTTCGCCGCCTCACGCCGCCCCGGCGCCCCGTGCCTGTAGGCCGAAGAGGATAAGAAGCGGTACGAGAGCGAGATGGCGGACTACGAGCCGCCGCCGCCGCCGCCTTCGGACCCGGCGCCGCCGGGCGCCCTCGGCGCCGCCGCTGCCGCTGTCGCGGACGGCCAAGAGGGGGCGCCGGGCGAGGAGGAGGAGGGGGGGAAGAAGAAGAAGGCCAAGGCTGCAAAGCCTGACGCGCCTCCGCCAAACACGTTCGAGATTACGATCCCGGACAACGTGCACCCGGGGCAAAAGGCGCGCCGCCGGGCGGGGCGAGGCGGGCCCACGTGGAGAGGCACCCCCGACCCCCTCCCCCCCCCCCCCTCTCAAGGTTCGCGTCAAGCTCGGCGAGACGTGCCTGCACGTCACCGTCCCCGAAAACTTGCCAGAGCACCGCAAGATCCGGGTCGTAATGCCGGACCAACCGGCGGCGCCGCCCGCACAGCCGGCGCCGCCCGCCGAGGCCGCCGCGCCGCCCGTTGCGCCGCCAGCCGCGCCGCCCGCCGCGCCCGCCGCGCCGCCGGTTGCCGCGCCGTATCATCAGATGGTGATGCATCAGCAGCAGCAGCAGCAGCAGGCGATGCTCCAGCAGCAGCAGGCGATGCTCCAGCAGCAGCAGCTGATCCAGCAGCAGCAGGCGATCCAGCAGCAGCAGGCTATGGGCATGCCTGGCGAGGCGCCGCCACCGCTGCTCGGGCCCGGCGCGGCCGCCATGCAGTTCGGTCTATAGGGGTGTCGCCTCACAAGTCGGCGCTGCACCGGCCAGAGCCTTCTCTGAGCCTCTCGGAACTTGCCTGCAGGGCTCGCAGCCAGCGCTCGAGGCACGGGCGAGCTGCAGCTCCTAGCCGGTTGCTCCGCAAGCTCCTCCGGCTGGGTGTTGGGGCGCCGGCTGGGGCGCTTGCGCATTCGAGGCCCCGGGCCTAGCCTCGCATACTTAGGGTCGCCAGCGACACTCGAGGCTCCGTCTCGGCAACCACCACGAACCGGACGAGAGCGTGAAGGACGAGACGAACCAGTCTTTCCGCACCGCGGAAAGGGGGGCCTGCGAGGGTGCGTCACATATGCGAATTGCGATGGTGTCCGGCTCGTCAAGACGTACACGCACAGGGAGTAAGCGAGAGAACATCGCAACATGTTCTCTAGACGCACGCGTTCTTTTTGTCTCATACATTTTTACACCGCGTACCAGAACCCGACTCTCTCTCGGCTGTGTATATACAGTCTGTACCCCTACCCGAGCACCTATATGCAATGCCATATCACGTGGAGGACCATCCAGCTGTGGTGTGTACGAGCTGGGCGCACCTGCGGCTGCGCAGCTGCCACGTGCCAGCTCGGTCGCGAGAGAGCGTACGGCTCTCTCTCGACCACGTAAACGCGTAAAACACCCCCCCCACGGCCCACGGCGCGAGACGTATTCCGGCACCGGCACCGGGCCGGTGCCGGTAACATGCACATGCAATGCCACGCGTGCCCCCCCCGCGGGGATCGATTCATGATTGTAGGCCAGGGTGCCACGGCGGCCGTGCCCACGGGCAGTGCTGAGTGCATGCCACAACTAGTACTTGAAGATCTCGCGCTAGGATCCTCGGGGTTCCGTTGCGCGCATCCCGCTGTCCATGCTCGCACCTGCCCCATCGTAGCATGACATGTACGTCGAGCGCCCTCTTTAAAGGTCGCCGCCCTTCAGCTTCTTCAGACGAGTGCCAATTCTCCCCGCAAAGTTCAGGAGGCGGAAGCGCTTGGACGGCTTGTAGGGCTGGCACTCTGGGATGGGAAGCGGGTTCCCCGTGCCGAAGAAGTAGCCGAAGGCTCCTCCCAGCCCGCCCGTGTTCCCTTGCCGCCTGTCGACGACGTAGAAGCCGATCTCGCGTAGCAGCCCGCCTTCGTTGAAGTCGAGGTGGAACTGCTGTGGAGGCAGCGACAGCTTCTTGCCCGTCGGCGGCTTGCCAAGCAGCGGCCCCGTGTGCGTCGCAGTGCTGCGCGACATAAACCACACACGATTCGGTTCGAAAGGGTCGACGCGGAAGCCGTAGTAGTTCGGATTGATGTCCGGGAAAGCGTCCTCGAGCTTGAAGGTGCCGAGCGCAGCGAGGTACTCCTCACGGCCGAGCGGCCCAACCACGGCGGCGCAAAACTCAAAGTCGGGAGCTAGGCACTCTCCGCCGTCTTTTGTGCCCACACCAGCCTCGAGGACCTGCTTGGCGCGCGCAATCAGCGCGGGAGGTTTGATCGGGAACGTGGAACGGGCGAGCATAGCCTCCTCGTCAACCTCTCCTTCGATCAAGCAGGCGAGTTTCCCGCCGCGGCAGAAAGCGATGCTGCTGGAGCGTACGGCGCTGCTCGAGCCGGCGGAACGGAAGGCGACAATCGAGACCAGCAACGAAAGGGCGTCCATAGGGATCCGAGGCCCTGTGCGCCAGGCGTGAGCGTCAAGTGAGCGTGCGTCAAAGCGCGGAAGTCGTGAACACGAAAAAAATGTTTATGTCGTGCGTGGTGTACAGTGTCATGTCTACTAGCTCCGAGTAGAGGGGGCGTTCTGAAGTTAAGGGGAAACCCGGTACACGGAACCAACCCTCGGAGACCCGTGTTTACTTTAAGGCCCTTGCCCTGCGAACGCGCACCCCCGGGGCTAGGGCTCTCTTGCCCGCAACCCGACACCGATCATCCGGCCCGCTGGGTGCGCTTCTGAGCTCCTCGGCCCTGGATGTGAGGTTACTGATTGCACTCCAAGTGCTCCAAGTGCGTCGTGACGTGTGGTGTTTCGTCTGTGTCCACTAGCTCCGAGTAGAGGGGGCGTTCTGCAGTTAAGGGGAAACCTGGTACACGGAGCTAACCCTCGGAGACGCGTGTTTACTTTACAGCCCTTTCCCTGCGAATCCGAATGCACTCGCTTGCTTTTTTTTCGCTCCAGTCTCTGTGGGGGGGCGCGGGGGCCCTAGAGGGTATCCATGCGGGGGGGCGATGGGGTCCCATGGCCCGCCGCAGGCGCCGATTTTTTCGGTTTTTTTGCGCGATTTTTCACTTTTTCATGGGAATTCGGCGTACTTGCGGCCATGCTATCACGCCTTGCGACAGCCTGTCGGCGCTGCTGACCGTGCCATGCTGCACAATTGATCACCTGCATAGCTCGCGGCCTTAGTATCAAGCATTCAGTGACGACCTGATCGTACGGCCAGTCGGAAGGTGTCCTTCCAACGTGTGCACGCTTCTGACGCAATGCGCGTCGCCTCGGATTGGCTGCTGGCACTCTCGAGGCTATGCCTACACAGCCTCGCGCGCAGGGCAGTCAAGAGGGACCACGCACCTTCTCAGGACAGCACCAGTGCCTCTCTCTTGGACCGGCAAACGTGGTGGTCTCGTGTTACCAATGTGGGACCAGTGCGGCATCGCGCCATCGACAGCTCTGAACTGCGCCTCACCACTGACCGGGAAGGCCGCCAAGTGGGCCAGCACCGGTCGCACATTGTGGCAGCAGTCAGCAGTGCATGTCTGATAGCTAGAGCAGCAGCGTCAGGGTCTCGCAGGGTCGGATCGTGTCAAGCCTCTCGCCCGGCCGGCCGTGTGCAGACGTCGGCCTGTCTGCTGTCTGGAGTGATCTGTCGGCGGTCAGTACGACCAATCAGGTCGGAGTTTTCTGATGGTTGGAGGGTCTATCTGTATGTACTCCTCGAGTTCTCTCCAAATCTGCCCTCTACTTAACCGTACTTAATCGGGAAGTTGGTGCTAACGGAGACTAACGGAGCCGGAGCCCCGACTAGGTCCAGCCCTGGGTGGCGCAGGTTGTGACATTTGGCGATTCCGCGACTTACTGGGCCCCTGAGCCGCTACCCGTGTGCGATTTTTTGTGGCCCGGACATGATACTGATAGTAAACGGGTCAGAACCGGCCAAACACAGGCTACAGCCCCACACACGCGCCCGCCATAGCTCCTGGAGAGCATGCGCGAGTGACGCGCTGCAAGCCGCGAGAGTGGCATCAGAGGCAGGAACGACGTGCTCTTGCTGCACCTCGCAGCTGCACCAAGTGTGCTCGCAGTGTATGCCACGGCCACTGCCTGCGGCATTGCTCTCGTGCAGCTAGGCGATGCAGGTCCATCAGCAGGGCTCATCCAATGCGAGCGCACATTGTGCGTAGCCGCGGGCAGGTGGCAGTGCACAGCCGCACACCGGCTGTGGCGGCTCGAATGCCCCCGGCAGTGCTGCTAGTCATCAACTTGCGTATTAGGGCCGCAGCAGACTGCTGCTGTGGCAGCAGCAGCAGCCTGCTGCTGCCTGATTCAGTCAAGCCAGCGGTGCAGCGAGGCGTGCAGAATTCGCGCGGTTTGGTACCTCCTGAGGCTGAGCGCGTTCAGACTCGGTGACCGGAGTTGGAATGGTCCGATGGAGCTCGGCGAGCTCCATCGGACCATCCATGGCCGGACGGCGGAGCGTGAGGTGGCGAGCGGAGAGATGTACCGCAAGACCAAAAAAACACGGATCTGACGATTGTCATCTGACGATTGTCACTGACGATTGTCAGCGGCAGCTCGGGCATCTGCCTCTGCCCCCTCGCCGCATCGGCGAGCGCGCTCGTGTCAGCGCGCCGCTGCTCCTGGTGCCGCTGCATGGTCGCCGCGCTCGCGCTCGCTCCGCTCGATGACATCGTGAGGCCCAACGCAACGGTCTGCGAGCTCCTTTCGCCCAGCGGGTCCACCACAGAGTTCTCCCAATCATGTGCCCAAATGCGACCGCCGTTTTTCGTCGCCCCCCCCCCCCCCCTCGCCCGCCGACTTTGATTGGGTCCAGTTCAACCTCACTCTCATCTTATCTATTACAGACACAAAACGTCAGATCTGCGCCACCCAGGGCTGGACCTAGTCCCCCATTTCCGTACTGCTGCGCGGCGCACGGTGCCTCCGGCCTCCGGGGGCCCCCGCGCCCCCCCAGAGGCTCCAGTCCTGCGGATCTTCCGAATGTCTTTCGATGATAACCTCCTTACGGGGTTTAGCCACCTTTAGCTTTGGACGACCCACGAAACGCAGCCGCCGCCGCAAGGCGCACTATAGTATACGAGCACACACACAGACCCAGGGACGACACATCCATGTTTAAATAAGAGTCACCGCAATCGCCTCTTCTTATCGCCTCTCTCTAGAGTTTCAAATCGCGACAGGGGCCGACCGCGCAACGCGAGATGACGTTGTGCCGTCCCCCGTGCGCAGGTTAGACCTTGGCAGCCTTGATAGCGGGCGCCGCCTCGTCCGCCGACCGCTTCTTGTTTGCGAGCTTGTCGGCGTACTTGTCGATAAAGACGCGCATGGTCGACTCCATCGCCTCCTTGAGCGTCGTCTTTGGGCTCCAGTCGAGCTGCTTGTTGACTAGGCTCATCGAGGGGATGCGCAGGTCCGAGTCCTCGTAGCCGGCGCCGTAGTACTCCTCGCCCGAAATCTTGACGGTCGTGCCCTTTGGCTTGCCCGTGATCTTCGAGTACATGTCGATCATCAGCTCGGCGAGGTCCGAGATGCGGATGTTGTTGTCGGGGTTGCCGACGTTGAAGCAGCGGCCCTGCGACTTCTCGGGTCGCTCCACAATCCGCACCACCGCGTCGCACGCGTCGTCCACGTAGCAAAACGTGCGGAAGACCTCGCCGCCGTTGACGAGGACGAGGGGGTCGCCCTTCATGAGCGCCGTCATGAAGGAGGCGAGCACGCGCGGCTGGCCGTCGTCCTTGCCGTCGACGCCCGGGATGTAGTCCATCCGCGGCCCGATCCAGTTGTACGGCCGCACGATGGTGAACTTGAGCCCGTTTTGCGTGCCGTGCGCATAGATGAGCCGCTCGACGAGCTGCTTGGCGCACGCGTAGCACCAGCGCTGCGCGGAGACGGCGCCCATGATCATCGGCGTCGTCTCCTCGTCCAGGATGTAGTTCTTCGGGTCGGCCGCGTCGAGGCCGTACGAGGAGAGCGTGCGGCCGTACACCTCGCAGGTGGAGAAGTGGATCAGGTGCTTGTTGAACTCGACGCAAAAGTTGATGCAATCCTGCGTAACGGGGCGGGAGGCTCAGGAGAGGGGAGGGAGCGGCGCGCGCGAGTGGAGACGGGCAATGTCCGCGGC